TAATGCACGTTACAATCGTCGCAGACCAGCATTAGAAAATGCCAAAGAAACCATCGAAGCTGCCACAGAAAAGTCTGAAGCAGCTACTGATCAACTAGCTCTTGCCGCTAGCCATGTCGATAAGAATCCACAAAGGCGTAGTGGCGCTTATGCTAGAGACGGAGATGGTAAGTCCAAAGAAAGCTGAGAGGTTATAATTGTGTGGCCTGTTAAATTATATTTCTGTTCCTTAGAATATCCTTATGGCAATTTGGAAATGAATCTCATACGTCCGGAGAGCGAACCGGTGCACACACAGATCACAGCCAAGTACACGAGCACGTTAAGTGCATCACGTCCTTACGAGTCAGGTTCACTGGAAGATGCCGAAACTGCTGAGGAATATGTAGCTAATGCCATGAAGTTGCAACGTTATGGCACACGTTTACGCGAACCCATACGCATACTGCCCACTGAAGATGCGCTGCAAGCTGGACCGAAGACGCCGCCAGCACAAACCAACGACGAGTCGGCGGACGAGAGGAACGCTCCACCGCCGAGCAATATCAAATTTGAGTACTACCATACCGCAGCACAACAGCAACAGTTGCAACAACAAACGCCACAGCATTTGGATAATAACCACCAGTCACTTTTGGAGGCGCAAATGCGTGCACAATTGCAGGCGCAAATCCAACAAGCCCAACAGTCGCAACAGGCGCAACAGCAAGCGGAAAGTCAGCAACAACAACTAGAGGCGCAAACGGAACGTGGTCAAGCAATTGTTGTGGGAAGTGCCAATGACGGCGTGCCGCAGCAGGTAGCGTCTGCTTACAATCGAGACCCGGTAACACGCTCTTACGAGGTTTATGATGACAACAGTGCCTACGAAGCCAGTGTGGAGGCTGGTGCGGGCGGTGGTAGTGGTGTCGCTGACGGTGATGGCGTCGATCGTCACTACCGCACAAAATATCTTTTTCAACCTGCCTATCAAGGCGCCAGTGTTGCACCAGCAGAGCCCGAGCCAGAGCAGATACGCGGCTCCGCATCAACGGAAATACCCAAAGCGGAGATAATGAAGCAGATCGAAAAATCGGTGATGAAATACATGAAAGAGCTGGAAGCCGAAGGCAAGATTGTCACTTCGCCGCAAGAGCCGAAAACATATTACAAAATGGTAACTGTGCCAATCGAAGAGAAGCATATTGCATCGACAACAACACGTCCGAAACATTCCATTGCTACACCCACGCAAAATGTTGTGTATACGAGTGGCAGTGAAAGTGGCAAACCGTCATCAGCGTCAGCAACTGGATCATCGCACCGTACGTCAACGCATGGCAGCATTTCCGGTTACTCCAGTTCACGCCACCACGCGCCCAAACATCAGCTCAAATCTACGCAACGCTATCAATCCGAAGCCGAGAATGCTTATCGCACACAAGGCGGCGCACATCAGGCGCATGAGGTCGGCGAGGCGCTGGCGCCAAATGTTGAATTCGTTTACAAGATCAAGACACGCGCACCACTGCAAACGGCCACCGTGAAAACAATTTCGAAACCATATACGTTGCCACTTAAAGGTACCTACGACCATTTCGATCATAGCGCAGCGCTGAAGCATATCGAGGACTTTGATCTTTCGCATGTAGTCACGACGCAAGAGCCCGATGAGCGTCCAACTTCGTTGAGCGCGAGTGTCACAAACAAGCCAAATAAACTTTACTTTAACTCGGAAATCTATCACGATATTAACTCTCTGCCATTCAAGCCAGAAAAATCACGCACGTTAACCACGGCTGGCGCTGGTGCAGCAGCTGCCGAGTATCGCAAACTAAAAGCTAGTAGTGGTGAATTAAGCGTTGATTATAAAGGTTACTCCGGCTACTTTGCCGAACCTAGTGCACAAACGGACACGTCCGATGAAAAAGACACAAGCGCTGGGTCTAGCGCGCAGGTGTCAGAAGATGGTTACCCCCTCATGAATCCCTACCAGTACGTGCTGAAGAAGGAGCCACTGCCGCACAAATATGAAGAGACCAGCGCCAGTTGGGTTGAGGCGCATGCTAAACCTGCTTACGCGGCATTGAGCGCCTCACAAAAGGGACTAGAATACGACAGCTACAGTCCGAAATTCAACAATAATCCCGAAGGCTACGGCTATCAGCACACTTACAAAGCGGAACGTGAACGCGAACGCGAAAGGGAACGCGAAAGAGAACGGGAACGTGAGCCACAGCATAGCGGACACAAGTATGCCGTTAGTCGCTTGCCGAGCGGTAGCAACAGTAAGCGTGGCAAGCGCGGCGGTGGCTTACCATATCCCAATGTAAGTAAGAAGGCGCTGCGCAACGCGGCCGTAAAAGATATTGAGGCGAACTTGGCGCTACGTCCGCCGCCGAAAAATTAACGCTCCAGGCTTGATTTTTAATGCAATCAATTATTTTTAGTTTTTCGTTTATTTATTGATTTATGTTTTCTTTTAATATAACTGTTTCTACGGCAATGTTGTATGCGCGCCTGCAGTTATGCAAAGACATTTCTACAAATTGCGTATTACTTTCTAAAATATATTTATGCCAATTTTCGAGTGCAATGTTAGCTTAAGTATATATTTATAATAAAATATTAACGGTATTTAATTGTGTTTATATTATAGTGAATATTATTTCTTATATATATAAACGGTTTTGTATTTATTTATATAATAAACCATTTAAAATGTCAACATTTCATAACTGAGCGCCTAAAAGTAGACTATAAATCGGATTAGTGTTACCAACTTTTGATTCCAGAGGAAAAATATTTTATTCCCATAAAATTTGAAAGAATCTGTTGGAGCTCTTATAAAAGAGCGGTCTGAAACTTGAGAGAACAAATTATTAGGAAGCAGCATGCCTGATAATAAATAAGTTCTAATTTGAAAAAAATAAGCATACTCCGTCAAATAATAAAGACATCTGAAATTTTGAAGGCAGAACTTTGTGTAAATCAACAAAAGAAAGGCACGCTACGCCGAAGAGAATTCAGCCAAACATAATGGCAAATATAACCGTTTTTGCCAGATTTCTTCAGTAGCTATAATTGCCGTCAGATTCAATATATAGTAGAAAGTTTAATCAGCCATCAGCTTTAATACATATCAATACAATACAGAGAGTTTACTATTTCATTTTGTGCCTGCTGAATTTAGATGAAAATAATGAGATCTGGAAGCCTGATTATCTACTCAGCATTTTATCGATCTTACAAACACACCTCTTAAAACTTATCAGAAGAGAATAGCATTTAAAACGTTGAGAAGATGAAGGATTTTGAACGTGGTGAAGGGTTTGTAGCATATAAAGGATTATCCATTTCGAGACTCCCCACTATTTGAAAGAAAAAACACATTCAAACAACAAATTTAATGAGAATAGTTTATTATCATTCGAAAGAATATTCTTTGGCATTTATTTTTTGGAAATTATCTCTATAAAATGTTGGCCGCGACCAACGTCTCAGATGGTCCATCTGTTGAATTCAATCTTCGATGACTTATTCCAGCATTTCGGTTGGTAACTGGAGAATGACACAAGTGATGTCTTGCTCTAAGGCCTGAATCGAAGCAGAATATTCTTTGGCATTTATTTTTTGGAAATTATCTCTATAAAATGTTGGCCGCGGCCAACGTCTCAGATGGTCCATCTGTTGAATTCAATCTTCGATGACTTGTTCGAGCATTTCGGTTGGTAACTGGAGAATGACACAAGTGATGTTTTGCTCTAAGGCCTGAATCGAAGCAGAATTGTCCGCTTAGACTTTAGAGTCTAACAGTGGGATATCACACGATCTTGGTGGTCAATCGAACGTTCCGAAACGTAAATATATTTGCTCACCGAAGTGTTCTCTCAATAATAAGTGGCGACGTGTTGTGGGAACCAAATGTCGCCGAGATCTCGAGCTTTAATTTTAGACAACAAATAGTCGGTTATCATGGCGCGATAATGTTCTAAAATACTGAAATAAGGTCAGATCGGACCAAACCGTGTATTTTTCTGGAAATCTCTCAAATCTCTTCAGGTTGCTCTTCGTCTTTAATGCAGTAATTTTGCTTGTTCACAAACGCATTGTGCCAGAAATGGACCTAATCGCTGAACAAATTTGGCTCAAAACGTTGGAACTTCTTGGAATTTTAGAAATAAAGTTGAGCGATTTTTCAACGTTGTTTAGGCGTAAGTCTTTCTATGATGAAATATTAAACAATACTGAACAAAAATAACTTGACAACTTGACACGATTCACGCGTGAACGGTTAAAAAAGGCTATTGGCAAAAGTATTCCTACATGGATCATGAGTTACTTCTTTCTTTTTCTAATTTATATGCCGGTTTTAAGGTTCACAATAATAAAATTCTATCGTTTAGTTGACATCAGTGTTTGAGAAAATTTGTTCGCCTTAGTAAAAATATCAGTTGGAAGCGTTCGAACTTCCGCAATTTTTTTCGTATTATCAAATACAACCATAAAGTTCCCAGGTTGCTTATACACAAACCACAATTATGTTGATATATATTTATACACAGTAGGAGGACGGTACTAAAAGTAACCAACCCAATCAGCTACTTGTTGGTGGCTCTTTCTTTTAACTCTCATTTATCTTAACACATATTGTGGTTCAAAAATGAGCCTGTGTTATGTAGAAAGTAACGAAATTTCCTTCCAAAATCAATTTATGTGGAAATATATTTACTTCCTTTAGCTGGTAAGATACTTCTGCGACCACCCTAATATACCCATTCACCATATCTCTTTCAAAGAAAATATTATAATTCGAAATTGATAACAATATATATTATAAATTTCCCATGCGTAAAGTTTATAATAGAACTTGGCAATTGCGGTTGCCTGCACCAGCTTCGCGAAAGCTTCAAGTATAAAATGGATTTTCCGCCGTGGCGACGAGTCAGTACATTGCAGTGCCACAAACGCAGGAGTGGGATTTGTTAATTTTTGTTTTTATTGTTATTTCTTACAGTAAAATGTCGCTTAGCGTATCTGGACTACCGAAACCCGTTAATGTACGCAATGATATCCGTCATAATTGGGAGGTCATGCAAATTGTTTATAAACTCTACAACGAACAGAAGTTCACGGACATTTTATTCGAGTTTCCTTACACGACTTATAAGTATGTTTTTGTTGTGAACTGTTGTTGTGTGTTGTCAACTCAGGTATATGTAGGATAATATACCGTTTTAATAGGCTTACAGCACATCGCCTAATACTCGCCGCGGCAAGCCCATATTTTCTAGAACTCTTCGACAATACCGAAGACGATTGCAACTCGCTCACGGTAACGAAAATGGATAGTGATACTTTTGAAGAATTGGTGGTCTACTGCTACAACGGACAGACAGATATTACAGCTGGTAATGCGGAGCGTATGGCCAAAGGCGCTATGCTGTTACGTTTATACGAAGTGGTTGATATTTGTGTGAATTATATGATGAATCATATAAGTGATTTCTTAGTGCGCAAGCTGATACCATTGGCAGCGGAATTGGACTATGAAAAATTTGAAACGCGCTTACTCGCTTATATTGTGAAGAATTTTAAGGAGGTAAGTTGAAATTTTGCGGGAACTCGCTGCGGTATGTGAGGTAATCACTAGGGTAACGCTAATTGACCTACGGCCTTCACGGCTTGAGAAAACTTTTAACGTTTCTTTGACCTACGGTTCGACGCGGACTATGATTTCAGAACTAAAGCTTTTTTGGAGTTGGTTGAACCCTGGGTTGGTGGCCAACGTATTCCGTCACCTGAGCTTGTGGGAGTGAAATCCTGTACAAATGGCTGGCGGGTTAATGTCGAGGCTACTTCTATGCTGTTAAAACATTGGCAGGCCTCACAGTACATTCCTCTCCCATCCTCATTAAGTTCATGTGGTAGATAATCTTGGAACCATTAAAAGCGACTACTTTTTGTGAGTTCAGTAGCGTCTCTGAGTGCGGAAATAGGTCGAAACCAAACTTGAAATTGTACAAGGTTCTGGGATTGTTAGTGCCTAGGGCAACGAAATCATCCACCACAAAGGGCAGTGAACAAAATTACCTTTTAAAAGTTCGGTTACCGTCTAAGGATTGTCCAGCCAGCTGGAAACGAAGGTAGGACTGAGATACGAAGCGGATACGCCAACACCAGCAGAAGAACCTTTGTTTAGTTCACGATGGGTTCGAGGACCTAAGGCGATATTAAAACGTTCGGGGGAAAAAAGGTGACGGCGGGAGATGGTTGACCAGACCGAAGCATCGTAGCAAAGTTGATAAGATCTGAGTTGGTTAGATTTGAAAAGGAGTTAGACTAGAAGCTTTGGACAGGTTAATTTCGAAATTAGAGGGTTAAATCTGAAACATTCTTTCGCAAAAATATCAATGCAAAAAGGGAAAGCTCAAACCATTACATGGTTTATATACGCAACTCAAAGCTGCTTTTCATCCTGTACTTTCATGACATTTCGAAAGGTATTATGCTGAAACTGAGTATCCGTTAAAGATCGAACTAGTTTAACTGTACTAAATTGAACTACTAGAATTAGCTTGCCGATTCTCATATTTGTTAAAGGAAGTTAAGGACCTGACTTGGACATTTAGTCACCGATTTGAAAATTGCTATTAAATGTGTTTCACATAAAAATCAACTTCAGGTTAACAGAAATGGCGAAATATTTGATCTCAGTATGACACAATGGAAATTCATTATAAAAGAACTAGACGTCAATTCCCAAGTTTCCCAAGCGGATATATTATTGGCCATCAAAGGCTGATACGAGTACAATGTCACTGAGCATCAGCAATACCTGCCCGATTTGATCGGTTCGCTTACACTTAGCGAATTCGACAACGACTTCCTAAGACAGCAAATCAAACCATTACCCGGTTGTGAAGGTTTGGCAACAGAAGCACTTAAGAAACGTGGCGAACTGCCTTCATGGCTCGCGGTACAGAATTGGGGCGAAGTAAGTGGATATACTATATGTATTTACGAATATATTTAATAACGAACATGTTAATTTTTAAGGATTGGTTAGGTTATAAGGACATCTTACTTTATAATCAGGCTAAAAAGGAATGGGTAAAAGCTACACGCTTGGAAATTAGTAGATATTATTTCAGCACAGCGTTTATGGGGAATAGTCTCTACTTCATCGGCGGACGCAGCAGGGATGGCGTAAGCAAAGCTGTGCTCAGCTACAATTTGCTAACAAAAAAAATTACAACGATGCCGTCGTTGCAAGATAAGCGTACTGCCGCATGTGTTGCTGTGGTGAATAATTCTATATATGTTTTTGGTGGTAAGGCGGATAATTCGTTGGCTAGTGTGGAATGGTAAGACGCAGGTGTGCGGTAGACCGCAGGTGCTGGTAGTGTTCTAATATTATGACATATTACAGTTACAGTATGTCAATAGGGCGCTGGGAGCATAAATCTGGCATGCCTACACCTCGCGCGGCAGCTGGTGTTGCCATCTTGAATGATGATGTATACTTAATAGGTGGTAAAGATTTACGCACCTTAAACAAAGTAGACCTTTATAATGTTTCCACAAATAGGTGGTATAATTGTAGTGCAATGGCCGAAGCACGTGAAAGTCCAGCTGTAAGTATGAATTCGGCTTTCTGTGAATATAGCGACACCTAGCGGACATGTTTCTTTCGATATAGTCCCAGCTTTTTAGAACCTTTCCAAAATAACAGAAAAATGCAAACAAAAAATTTATTTCAGGTGACTGTGCATCAAGGCCTTATTTACGCAATGAGTGGAGGTTTCCGTGATTTAAAAACCGTCGAACGTTACGATCCAAAGCAAGACAAATGGACTAAGGTTGGGTCCAATATGTTATATAGAGATTTTCGGTTTTTTTTTTTGTGCAAACATCAAACATTTTATTACAGATAGCTTCGTTAAATGTCGCACGTAGATATATCTGCGCCGCCTCAATAGGTGATCAATTGTGGGCATTTGGTGGTGTGATTGGTCCCGCACAGTGGGACGATACTGTCGAGGTTTACGATGTGGCCAACGATAAGTGGTTAGTAAAAAAAAAATTGCCGGTAACTGGAAAATTTGATTGTGTGACACTGCCTACAAACGTGGCCGATAATCTTAATTGAGATTCTCGAAAAGATGTAATAGCTTATGAAATATTTAATTACAAACAAATTTATGACTTAAAAGGTATTAACTGCGAGTATTAATAACCATGTGTAGTATATTTTCAATTGAGGTTTGGAAAAAATTATATGAGCTGCAAACATGTCAGTACACTGTACTCCGGACTACAACCGGATGCCACTTGATGTCTTCCATCCAACAACTTCACAGTGAGGCATGTATGCTGCAAGTTACGGATCATAATGAACTACTCTCCAAGCAGATTCTGCTGGGGTGCTTTCGTAGAAATCATCCTGCAGTCACCTGCTTGTAGCGGAATCGCCTCCTAAGAGTATCAAGAGTTTCTCAACTACGTCGACGATATAAAACAATACGCCGACCAGAGTTCGAACGCAAACAAAACTTCAGACCGCCCTTCACAATGGAGTCACTAAAACCGTCACCGACACCTCTCAGTGAATGGCGTACTTGGAGTCAAACTACCACCCGTTGCAGGTGACGAGCTCGAGTTGCCGCGAGAATCGAGAGCGCAGCTTCGCTCCGGATACTATAGCAGGTTAAACTATTTAGAATCGACCGTGACAAATCATATATATGTTCGGCATACACCCTCTTTGCTCTTTGCTTTGCCCTGTTAACCCTACAAATCTGACACCCTTCTCCTTTTGGTGCGACTCCAGCAAAATGGCACGTTTCCTGAGCCTACCGTTGGATGACCACGATGACAACTTAACTAATTCTTGACACCCTAACGGGGTCTAACCGGGTAACCGGTAGCCTTAACACACTGAGTCAACTTAACTGCAACATAAACCAATATTTTTTTTTTTATGAAACACTCTTTTTTTATTTAATTTACAATTGACGAGCATTCGAAGGCTCAGTCTTCTATTTTAACTATATACAAAATTAAAAATACAAGTTCATTTTTCTAAAATAATTAGTGAATGCGCTCCATTTGCAGTGAGTGTGACCGTTGTATAAAAAAGTGAAAATGAAAAAATGAACCACAACATTAAACAAAAAATTTGGCAGCACCGCTATGGAAAGCATAGTCAAGCTACCAATTTTAGATCACTACAGACAAATGACCGCGATTTTCAGTTTTTCTTTTTCAGCTCAACTCGATTCTCTCACTCCGTCTCTTTTTATGTCTTTCTGGCTTGTTAACCACAGCACTTATTCGTGATGATAGTGTTCGTAGTGCTCCAGATGTGGTTCATGATGTCCATGCTCATGGATATGTGACTCGCTTTCTTCTTCCAAGACCAAACCATGATTGTGGCTGTGCTCAGTTTCGGGATGTAAAATTTTCAATTTCTGCTTGGTACCGCCAATTTCGATGGGATTCTTGAGCAAGTGCTTGTCCTTGATATAGACCGGTACCGGATGGAAATGATGAAATTTGACACTCTGATGTGAAGTGGCATGTTTGTGCTCCACTTCATGATGGTGTTCCGATTGTTCAGGTTCCTTATGGTGCTCGTACTCGTGATGTTCGAAATCGTGTATTTTTAAAGCTGTTGCCAAGGTTAGCAAACAAGCAAAACACAGTAACTGTAAGGGAGTTTTATCGTAAGTATGTTTGCAACAAGTGGGAAGGAAATGAGTTTCTGAGTTTTTGATTAATAATTTTGAATCGCAAATATGTAAAAAAAAACGGAAATAAAACTATTTTATAAAACTATTTTAGCGTTGAAATTTTTTATGAGAAAAAA